AATTCTAAGGAGCAATATTTCATAGCTTCCTTTGTTGCGCTCAAAATATTTTGGTCTGTTTGTCTTTTGCTCCATCTCCTTGCTGTTCAGAAGGGCCAGGGCTACAAACATGCTGCCTTTTATTTTACGGACAGAGCAAGTATTGCCCAACAACTAGTCAAAACTCTTAGGGTGCTTGCTAACTAGCTCTCCAATTAAAACAACTCAATATATACCAACCGTTATAAAACACAGGGATAAGGGTGCTACAACGACTTTTACCATGCTGATGATGAACAGTGTTTTAGAAAGTAAGTGGTGAAGTACAGTTAACTGAGGTTTTCATTGTTTACTGACAGACTTATGTATCACTGTTCAGGCAAAATTAAGCAGAGGTCAGTGCTTCTGCTAAACACTTAAACATAAACTCAGTTCTTCAGGAATCCATCTCTGAAAAGCATTAGTTAGTATCACGATGTCAACTACAGTGACATTAAGTTATTTCCTGGGCCATACATATTTGCCTTTGATTAGCAGTGAGTCATGTACTTCTCTGTTTTGGTCTTCCTCTTATACACACATGAACACACGGTCACCCATCCTCTCTGCTTTCTCTGCTAGAATTTATTCATAACAGCAGAATGACAAGCAAAGAACTGCTCCAACATCACCCTGCCAAAGAGGTTAGCTAGGAAACAAGCAGTCAGGTATCCATCTTCCTATTCTACAGATACTGCTCCACTATCCTTCCTATTTTATAGCATTTTTCATTTTACAATTCCAAAGTGCTATATGAAAATCCATCATTCATTTTACATAAGAAAAAGGTAATATGCATTTAGATATTCCCTCCCAAATTTGAAAATAATTTACTATAACCATACAATTTTGGAAAAAGGCTATACTATGTGTATTCAGAGATGTTTCTTAAGAGCGAAGACTCACATTCCAAGGGGTAAATTAGAACAATACAGTAAATACCACTAATACAAGTAAGTTCACAAGATCAAATATCTGCTGTATAGTTATTGCTAAGTCTACCCTGCAATTTTCTATTGGCTATCAATAACTTGGCTCATCACAACGTTTAGATTTGTAGGCTAACACAAAGGAAGACTTCATAGAAAACGTTACACAAGTTCACCGCTGCCGTACGACTAATAATCTATAACTTGAATGCACTCAGACCTGTAGCAGGCTGCTGCTGCTGAGTATGTGTGGCAGCCATGGCGACGGCTGCCGCGTTGGGCAGGCTGCTGAACGGGACGGGCCCGCTCGTGGCCCGTGGCGCGCTCTGCCACTTCTTGGCGTCCGTCCGTCTTGCCTCAAACACATCCACTGCATCTCCCAGAAAGGTTTTCCTGTAGCCGAGGTACTGGTCTTTGAGCATCTGAAGGGGGTGGGGAAGCCGTTTTAGTTCAGCGTATTCGACAAAGCCTTAATTTAGTAAGCAGAAAGAGACACCAAATGATTTACAACGTTTCCTTGAAAACCCTCTGAGCAGCTACTCACGTAAGGAACTGGAGAAAACAGTTTCGCCTCAAGTATGGTCAGAAAAGGTTCTTTGTGATCAAACTTAAAGGCAACATGGCAAAAAGACATCCAGATCTTTCAAAGGTAGCATAAATCAGTGGTTACACAATGTCAGTGGAGTAGCCAAGAAGCAAAATGCAGTCACATAACTGGCTAAGTACATAAGCTACTATTTAGTCAACAGGAAATACAGTCTTCGGTGCTACTACTCCTGCATACAACCTGCTCTTACTTCCTCACCCTTCTTCTGTTTCCTTTCCTTCTTCTCTTTTGCATTTCTTTCTTAGCACCACTATCAAAAGGCCTAAACTCCCCTTCCCACTCCAAAGCCCACTCTTGGTGCAAAGAGCTAGTGTGGCCTTTTCATCACAAAATCCTTTCATCTTTGACAGAGATGGAGAAGGAATCTTAGACAATCAAATGAAGCAAATTATCCCTTTAAAGAACCAACAGAATTACTGCTGTATATTCATGTGATACAAATACATCTATTAACTATCAGCTAGCACAAAGATATCTCAGCCTATTATTTTTCTGTAACTTCAGACCTTTGACTCAAATTGCAAGTGCAAACCAACAAGCCTAGATCAGACACAGGAATGAGTTGTAGAAGCAGAGCTGCTGGCCACAAGTCTCACCAACCATCACAACAAGTTGAAGACACAGCAGGTTCAAAACTGCTCTCTCCTAGCATGTAACAGTTAGGTTTTGGTTATTAATTCTGATTTTTAAAGCTCTAGCTGTAACTGTGCATTCCAAAATATGAGTCTTTATGTTTCCTGGATTAAGCCACACACACAAAAACTCACCCAAAACACACCCTCTAAAAACCAACTCTGCCCACAAAAACCTATCTCCTAATTTCAAACAAAATATTTAACCTGAAGTAATGCCTTTCATTTTCACTCACACTGACAAGGTACTGGAGATACTGTCTGTCATGTCTGCCCTTCACATCTCTTCCTATCACATCAAAGTATCATCACAGACACCACAGCACAAGTTAGTACTACACTGATCTCGGTAGTGAGGAGCCCAGAACATCCCTTCTGCCTCAATCTGCAGCAGCTGCAAAAGAGCTAACACATCTAATACCTGGTTCCAAAAATGAATCAGCTAAAAGCAGCACAAGTCTGATGAATGAATACAAAGTCAATCAATTTCAGATCAAACATGGAAGAGAAGAAGGGAAAAAAAGAACAAAAAGAAAACCAGACAAAAACCAACCAACCACAACCACCTCTTTGAGCTGTAATACAATGAATGGCCACCCCGAATGCAGCCACGAAGCCTCAAGAATCTAGTCCCTACAACATCCCCAGCTTCCTTCATTTTTATCCAGCAGCACTACTGTAGAGAAGATTCTGCAGAAGACAAACAAACCAGCTTTACCAGAGCTCTTCACATCAACAAAACCACTTAACCTCAGATAGCAGAAAACAATCCCAAACACTTCTACTTTCACCAAGGCCTTTCCTTATCAAGGCAGCAAGGAATCTTTCTCGGGAAAGATTAGAAGGTATTTCTCCAGTATACTCAGAAGTGGAACACAAAGCTCAAGCTGGAGGCTAGAAGCTCTGCTCCATTTCATAGGGTCCCCCATTGAAAAATAAGTTGAATTTGACTCCTCCGAAGCTTTGCAACATCTTTTTTTTTTCTCATAACTTTTGTATACACATGAATTTCCATAAAAATTGGGGTGAAACTGGAAATACATTGTTCACCAAAAAGCTCTGATATGTAAGATTTTTAACATATGATTATCTATTTTTTTTCTGCTACCTATTTGAGTAAGAGCAGATTTAGATCATTGTTGCTTGAAGTTAAAAGGCAAAGCAGGCAAAGAACAGAGCATAAAAGCATCAGCTTAAAGGCAGAAGTTAAAACAGAAAGGAATTAGATAAAAAACATTATGCAACCTCAATTATTATGGTCACTGTAGAAGAATCCCAATAAGCCCACTTCAGCTGAACAAAATAACTTTATCTGAGCACTTCTCTGGGGCAATTGCTTGGGATTTTCTTTTTAAAGCAACAGTTTCACAAGCAAAAAGAATAACTGAAGGTATATATTATTTTTTTCCTCTAACAAATGCTGCTCTGTAGTTCTTTCACTGAATAAACAGGAACACATTAGAACAACATACCTTTACGTTTTCATGTATTGATTGAAGTTGGGCAGCTAAAGCTACAAATGTTTGATAGATTTTCTGCATAGCCATAGATAAATCTGTAAGAGGCATACAAAATATTGGTGAATGACAATCTTATTGCCAGGGGAACAAAAAAGACCCCTCTCTCCTCCCCTATTTATAAAGAAGTTTGATAAAAACCTACAAACTCACATATCGGAAAACAAGAAAATGCATGAGAACAAGTTAATATCTATAAAACAGAATGAGTAGTTGGGCAATACAGTTTTCCAGCAGTATAGGACCACTTTTTTTCAAACGTATCTCTCAGGGTTTAACTATGTTTTGTAAACTACTCTCCTGTGAATCCTGTAACCCTTTGAAAATGTGTACGTATATATGTACACACACAGAAACACGCCAACTTTCCCCACTATGATTCTGTTATTTAGCAAAACGAAAATAAATTTAACTTAATTTTATCCAAGTTTTCATTACACAGGAACATTTTACCTCATTGGTTATAATATAAACACAGTTGGATGAGATTCTTAATGTTGTACATACTTTCCCAACCCTTCCAAGTTAATGCACAGTTAAGCGTTCGGTTGATTTTGCAGGAGATAACAGTGATGGAAACTTTACTTGCATTTCTAAGGCATGATTAACAAGCCTCACAGGACCCCTTTTACGCTAGCTCTGCCCACAAACATATTGTGCTCATTAAACTGAGAATGACACAATGGGGAGCTTTGTTACCTACTGCAGTCTTAGACATAGGGTATCCTACCTCCCATCTAGCTAGAGGATGGTTTTCAGTGCACCCACCTAATGCAAAGCATCACAATTAAAGGGAAACATCTCAAAGCTTTGGCAAAATGAAGGAGCTGCTACCAATCAAACAGAAAAAACCCTCCACTTTCTTTGAACGAAATACTGACACAAGGCGCCTACGTGGAGGAAGTGTTGACCTGATCTTTCATTGGGGTAAGATGAGTTCCTGCACATCCTCCAGAAGAGGATAAGCCACTGTGTGGTCATTAAGTCTCTAAAGGGCTACAGGTTTGTCAATGGCTCTTGAACTGAAGGGGTCTGCCCTTCAAAAGAAAAAAAATCTCCATTATATTTTGTGTTTCTTTTGCAAAGAGAAACACTGGGGAAGAAGTCTACAGAGATGCAAGGCCAGCAGTATCTAACAATGCTCAGGCTACAAGCTCCAAAGACAGGAAACTATTAAAACTGACTTAAACTCTCACAACATTCTGGGCCATGATTTCTTGATTCTCCCTCTATGGTAAAGGAATAGTGACCACATCCACAGAACAGTACAGACTAGATCATCAGTCTACTGTGTTGCCACTTATGCAATAAGTTTTTAGTTTACAGCAAACCTTGCTGAAAAGGAGAAGAAAATCCCTGAAGACATCACTTCAGTAGTCTCAGTGGGCAGAATCCTATGGAAAAGGGCCAGCATGCAGCAGATTTCCTTGCTATCAGCTAGGTCTGGAGAGTTCCCTTGTCTTTGGCACACGGCGTGTACCCTTTGTCACAAAAATATATGCACTTGATATCAAAGCTTACAGATGACCAAGTAATCAAAAAGCTAAGAGCTCCTACGAACACAGTAATAATAGGAAAGCAGAAGCTACAGGTCAGAGGTCAAGAATTCTCCCAAGATTGGATGACAGAACTAGATCTTCATCACCTGAGAAAAAAACTTGCAAAAAGCACTTTCACGGGGAAACGAAACTCATCTATAGCAATGAAGACACTCCCCATCTTTCATAGATAAGCACTTCTGTTGTGCAAAGACCTCATCTTAAAGCAGGTGGCAAGGAAATTTGAATTAGCGAAAGGAGTTGGGAGAAGGAAGGAAGATGAGAAGAAAGGTAATAAAAAAAGAACAAGATCAAAAACCCAAAATTCTTGCTGTTCCGTTAACCATAAAATGCAGGCCGTAAGAATCTCCTGTGTCTTATACATGTAATGCAGAAAATGAGACAAAAGATGTTTAGAAACAGCACAGAATCAAGGGACTAAGCAAACCTGAATTGAGTCAATGAGAAACTGAGGAGTAGGAAGCTTGTTTAGGAGCTCCTCAAGAGCATAAAGGAGCAAATGTAGATGGACTGCATAACCACTGCTAGAGGACAGCCCAAAACTCCAGATCAAGTGTTTGCAAATCATATCTTAGAGGCACCTCCTGCCCCAAAGAGCCCCAAGTTGCCATTCAGAGCCTCTATGCAAGTGTCAGCTAAATCTACAGAAGGTCCAGACAACCTTGTTTCTTCTGACTCACTTTAAGGTCTCGTACAAGTGGGAGGCATACTGTGCTTCCTGGTTATTTCCTATTTTTTCAGGAGTTCAGAAGTTAGGAGTTTTATTCATAGGCACCTAACATCTTTCTGGTACCAAAGTTCTACATAACACAAGCCAGGCTTACCAGCTGTATCTCAGAAAAGATGCAACTTAAAAAGCTCAACAATCTATCTGAACTAAAGGCTAAAGCTCCACATCTTAACACTGTGGAACTCCAGTATTTATCTGAACATTTATTCACTTTTTTAAATTACTATTAGCATTCCTTATTGAATGTACGGAAGTAACTGTAGAATTTTTCCTACAGATCTGAAGGTTTTTAATTTTTAAGAAGCATGAAAATCTGAACCTTACCTTGTGGAGTTATATGTGAATTGTTTGCTTGAGTAGCAAGGTGATTTTCCAGTTCTTCTATTTGTTGCCTGTACTGTTGCAGCTGCACTTCAAATTGCTCAACCAAGATTCTGAAGTAGCTAAATGTGTAAAACAATCATATCATACAATTAAACTTACTAATTTGACATCTGCTTTTATTCTCAAATCTACAGTAGCTATTAATCTTCTTTACATTACTTACAACGGGTGCATGTAATGTGACATTCTCCTCCCAGTAATGGAAGGAGAGCAAGGATTGTATTTTCCACATAAATGTGGAAAACTTAATGGACAAGCTGAACTAAGTATGGAAAAACAATCAAACAAAATATATTGTTTCCATGAAGCATTCAGTACACATTAAATAGTCAACTTAAGAAGTTACATTGACTACTCTTACGAATAAGGGTAACTTACTCTGCTGGGGCTGTATTTTCATGCTGAAGACCAGGAGGAGTTTTCTGCGTTCTTAGTGCTATTTCTGCATTCTTGAGCTCCTACATAAGTAAGGAAAATAAAGAAATGAGCTTTTGTTTAAAAAGAAAATAGCTACAATGGTATAGGTCATTCACTATACCAGTGAAAATTGAAAGCTCATTTTCCTTAAATACTTAAGATTGTTATAAAATCTGACCAGAAATTCTTCAAAGAATAGACTGAGAGAGGGTTGGAGAACTGTAAAAACAACAGAACTTCAGAGAAGGAACAAACAACCTTTTAGTCTGAAAGCATGCTGAGCTCCAGGAATTTTAGGAAACACTGCACTAAACAGCCAGCTAAAGTTTACCTTCTAATATACTTCAGAAATCCCCACATAATTACTGAAGACTGCTGGGCAAGAGTGGCAAGGAGGTAGGAGTAAAGTCAAGCACAAGGAAACAATACATCTTAAGGGGAATAGATGTTCAATAAAAACATTTACTATGTCGCAAAACGCTTTTTCAATAGAATCTTCCTCGTGATCTTTTTCATGCATGTACACTTCTTTCCAACACTTTACAAAGTACTGAACACACAATATGCTTATTTATTTGCAAATCAAACCATTTTCACATGCTGGTAATAAATTAAGATCTGAACTGTTTCATCTTAAGGAAGTCCCTTAAACGTAAGTTGAACCCAGACTGGTACGCAGGTACTTACAAAGGAAAATGTAGATGGTTGGGAAGAGTTCTGATTCAAGTCTTCTAAAAACACTAGCAATTGTTTAAGACATTACAGTCCCTGAAGTTTTGCTGTTTCTTAAAGAACATCAGAAGAAAACATGTACTTGCACCTCTGAGGCATGTTCTTACAAACAAGCCTTTGCTGAACACGCAACTGGAATTGAACTAAAGTGGGCAAACATTCTTTTCAGAATAAAGGTCACCCAACTGCTGTTGTACCTGACAACCATGATATTTCACTCAGTCTCCCAAGACTCGTTCTTTTTTTCAATTTTACAACTGTTTTTGTCAAGATACAGTTGAGTTTATTAGCTTGACTTTTTATCCTAGATTAAATAACACACGCAAATTTGAGTTAACAGAACTTGTAGTCAAGCGTACCTGTGCAGTTTCCATTTTCAATTTGTCAATATTAAGAGTGTTTCTCTGTAAACCACTGGCAACTACAGACAGAAGTTGTTTCAAAGCTTTAATATCTTCCTGTACTTTAAGCATTGCTTTAGAGGACATTCTACTAATTTCTTCCTGAACTTGTTTTTGTTCTTTCACAAATTTCCTAAGGAAGAAAAAAAGAGAAAGAACATGTATATTATGTTACTGAAAGAAGCCAAGTGTTTATAGTTTGGGTATGTTAGTTGGATAGAGATGAAACCAATCTTTCTAAAAATCAAACATTGCATTATAAAATTAGTGTATATTATAGTATTAATTTTGGGATACTAACAGTCGAAAACAAAACCAGTAACTTAAATACCAGTTGTTTACATGTTACACTGTCTCCTGACAAACAAAGCTTATATCTCCATTTATTAAATATCTAAATGCAATTACTATTTTGAACTCCCACTGACAACCAGCTTCTTTACCTAGTCTAAAATCTGCCTCCTCCTACCTGAGGGAGGGCCGTTTTGCAGTTTTTTTTTCCCCCCCTCACAAGACCCACAAGTGCATATGAAAATGCTCAGTGATCACTATGCACACACACAACAGGCTTAGTACTTCCTGGGAGAGCTGGACCAGCTTCTAGGAGCTTATTTATTACGCACGCACACTTCTGTAAAGGCACAGAAAAGGTGGCTGAAGATGACCACTGCCCATGACAAGTAGCTTCAGCTACTAGAACCAACCATCTACTTTGATCCCAGGTTAACATGTCAAGAGGCTTTGGGCTGGGTAAGCTCTCCTGCACACAGCTGGCAACATCCTGGTCTTGCTAAAGAGCACTGACAGTACAACCTACTTCAGCTATTCAACTGTTAAAAAAAAAAAAAATACAACAGGCAACAACACACACACCCCTCCCCAAGGAAATCCCCACAACCCTACAATGCTACTTACTGTAGATTTTCTACATCTTGGCAGATTACTGGAGGTAGATTTTCATCCTTTAGCGCTTTACTATCTCTGTAAAGAGACAACAAATGCTTACATGGTGCTTTAATACTGCCAAACATTTGTCACGTGATACCTAAGCAAAATTAAAACTCAAGTGAGCAATTATGTAAGTTTGCACCTGTTATATGTACATTGTAACTAGTAATAATTTAAATTAATGCAAACAAGCAATAGAGGCTCCTTCAGCCTTCAATCTTGTGCAAGCATCCTAAGCATTTGCTGAAGAGATATTCCGAATACTGTATAAGTCTACAGCTGAAGTCAGATAAGCTCTAAGTCTCATATTTGATGGGGAAACAGCAATTGATATTGGAAATGATGAACCACCATTACTGAATTATTCACATTACAGATGCTGTTTATTTACATTTATGCTTTTTTTCCCCCAAGACTGAATAGCCACCATATTAAATGTAGCTGTTTTCTAATAACTCAGGGAAAGCAGAGAAAATCTTAGCACTTACTCTGGTCGTGCTCCTGCTTTGTCATCTAGAAAATAAAAATTGTAGATCAGAAAAACAAAACAAAAAACAAAACAAAACAACTGAGGAACTACCAAGCAAAACAACCTTAATGGGATGTTTTTAAAGCAAGAACTAAAGACTCATCTGTCTTATTTCATAAGAGGAAAACACTGTACTACCCATAAAAGAGTATTTAATTTATTCTTTCACAGACAAGCATCCTTTCATGAGCTAAGCTGGTAAGACATATGGTAACAAAACACCTGGCACAAGTGAGTGTTGAACAATCCAACACAGATAAATGAACAACTGCAGTTGTGCAAAAAAATCTGTCCTTTCTTATGCACCCACAAGCAAATTACTAGATCCTGCACCCACAAAACAGCGCAAAAGTCCACGCACAGTTTCCTCCTCTTAAATATCAGGGTAATGAAGGTTTGGGGAAGAGACTTCCTCAAGAGCCCTACTATTGCACATGTCCAGCAATAAGAAGCAATACCTTCAGTTCTGTAAAACCTTGTTAACTACCACTTATGGCTACCACAAACTAGGCACCTGTGGGCCTCGCACCCAAGGTGCCAAATGCCTTTCTTGATAAGGGAATGAAGTTTAAAACAACTATTATAAACAAAAAGCCATGACTATTTTAGTTAAGGTCCAGGTCAATAACCACATGTTGCAACTTTTACACGTCCATCCACAAAGAAAAACACACACTCAGGAAGACCAAGACCTGGGCTGGTCCTCTTCTGGTTAGATGCAACTTAAACACGCACCTCTCTCTCCCCCACCAGGTTGGTCAGCAGGCTAAGACAGCACCTCTCCACTATTCCTTACTCATTTTGGAGCTCTGCAAAAGCAAGACTCCAAAGCTACCATGAAGGTAGATTTTTAGTAACGTTTTAACAACCTGCAAGAACCTAGTAGTACTGTGGTCCAGAAATATAACTTCAAGAACTAAGTTAGGAGTGAGAATGCTTTATTTTGGGGTTTCCTTTTTTTTTTTTTTTTTCCCCCCCCTCCTCTCTGCTCCTTGACATCGAATACAGCTGAAGTACTTCCTTTCTAACAGGCACTTTTGGCATTGGCAACATTCTTATGCACAGCTCTGCTCCCCCCTCTAGTGGCCATTGGATAGCACTCTGGAAATCCAGCTAGGCATTTCAGACCCCTGCTCTTCAGTCTGATCCTCAATTATACATATTAACTAATACACACACGTTAAAAACATCGCAATTTCAACCAAAATCTTATTCTTCTATGCAACTGTAGTATCTGAGAGTTAGAGAGGAAAAAAATGTGTTAAAATTGATTTTAATTCTGCATTCCTAACAAAACCAGGTAGTGCCTACATTGTAGTGCTCTGATATTCCCCACTAGGGTTATATATAGAATGCCCTATCAGTCACACACATTTTTAAAAAGAAACTTACTCTTTTTGTCTGAAGAGCTACTAAAATCAATGCCACCAAGACCTTCATTACCAGTAGTTGAAGGAGCTGCAGTTGTCCCCAGAGTCAAACTCAAAGCATTCTGCCCAAGCCCTACAGTACACCCAGAAAGTATTTCAGTATTTAAAATACATTGGAATAATCAGCATTTAAAACTAAAAGCACAGATTACCTTGCTCATAATTTTAGGGGCTATTTATTACATCCAGATTAAAAACACATGCAAAAATACAAAATAGAAGTTTCATACAACTGTACACAATTGTTTTATATAATTTATTCACGTAACTAGATAGTTAAACTACAGAGCTAACTCATTTAGCAGCAGCAGCATTTTAAAAAACATTATTCCATTTGGAGCTTAAGAGCAGTGTGTTACCAGCACTGCAACACAGGCAAGCAAATCAATTTTTCACGTAAACTGCTTTTATTTCTTCCAGCTCAATGCCCGAAACAACAATACAGAAGGCTGGAGATTCTATTCAGACAAGCCCCACCAAAATAAGTAGTTTCCACCTTCTCCAGAAAGAAGATATGCCATAGTTAATAGAAATACTTGCATAATGCTGCCTCCTTACATTTATTATCAATCAATTTCTTCAAAACAATTTTGGCAATAACAGATTTTCGTGTATTCCCACTAAAAATTTGTAAAACGTCAGTCTCAGGATAAGAAAGCAAGCAATGAGGTCTGTTGTTTATTTACAATGTTTATGGATAGTAACACTGCTCTGCCAATGGCAACACCTAAAAATTAAGATTTTATACAAGCGCACATATTACACTTCAACTTTATGGAAAGAAAAAAAAAAGAAAAAATCTGCACCTGTTGCTGCTGTGCTGGTATTCTGGAAAAGTGAACCTCCTAGACCAGCTAGGGCTCCTCCTAAGGAAAGGCCTGTGGAGGCAGTTGTGGTTGGAGCTGCTGTACCACCCAAATTTAGTGTAAAACCAGTAGTACCTGCAGGGAACAGAAAGCATCTCATAGCAAACACCACCATTTATAGGCTATCTGAAACTACTGATGAGAGCTATGAGCAGCATTTTTACATAACCGGACAACAACCTCAATCATTTTTTTCTGCAGATTTTCCAGATAAAACCACTAGAGACTGAGTTGCACACAATTTTATTCCACTGTATTTCAGCCTTGTTTAGCCTAAGTTTACCTGAAGCTATATCAAAGTTGAGAGCTCTCCAGAATGCCAGGGCACCTAGAATAAATTTTGTGCCAGGTAGTTCTAAGGGGGTAATGGAGCGAATAGGTACCACCAACTTTTATATATTGACTGGTTCATATTAAAGACTCAAACATTTCGCATAAGACAGATGATACCAAATACTTCACTTCTCTGCTGGAACTGGTCATTCCAGTTTTTGACAAAATAGGGAGAATAAGTAGATGTCCACAGACAGAAAAAGGAACAAAACAAAGGCTGTATAGAGCAAATGCAGACTACGAGCGTTAAGAAAGATAAAGACCAGTCTTAATGATTATCAGACACCACAGAACTTCTAGTACTGCTACCTGCCTGACATTGCACTTCGAGTTACATTAGGAATTTCACACCGTAGAACCTTTTGATTTTTTTCAGCCTACAAAATGGGCAAGAATGCCCATTCTAAAATGGGTAGTTTTTCAATTTTTCAAGAGCAGAAGTGGGAAACTTTAAGTGGGATTAAAAATACCAACAAGTTTTAAATGAAGTGTCAGCTTCGCTACCATTTTCACACTACAGATTACATGTTGCTTATATCACATGGTGTACTGCCCTCCATAGGGATTTATTTGTTTAGGTTCACAAACTTAAAACTGAAGTCCAATGTACCTTCCTAAAATATTAAGAAAATAAGTAAATAAAGCGCATTCCCTTTTATAATAAAAAAACCAACCCTTTCCTACCTGCTGCAGGAGTTGATGTAAGAGCAGATGAGAGCGAGAGGCCACTTGCTGAGGTAGAAGTGATAGGTAAAGCAAACGGCGTAGCTGAACCTGCAGGTTTGTTAAAGCCTAAACTAAAGCCTGTGGTGGCTGCTGATGTGGTAGCAGGAGTGCCTAAAAACAAGCAAACATCACTCTTAGGTTGTTTGGCAATTAATAATTTAATTCAGCTTTTCTGAACTATTACCATTTAACCACCTGAATATAGCAGCAAGTAAAGTCACATGCAGGAAATGAGAAATCCTAAATGTATTTCCAGCATTCAGAGGAAGCTCAGGGTCTTTACCCTAGAATGTAGATGATATTCAATGGTAATCTAAAAAGTTGCTAAAATAAGTGCTCCCACCAAGAGCAGTTTCTAGAAAAATCTCTATGGGATGGGCATACTGGAATCAATGCACATACCTTTTAAATCTGTAAAGAAGAAAAAAACTTGACTATCTATCTATAATACTATAATACTATCTATACTTGAAAGTGTTCAAAAATCACAGCTAAAAGTAAAGCAAACAAAGCTTCTATTTACACTCACTTCAGCCTAAGAATACATTTTATGTTGCAAAATCCACATTCTCAAGCAAAGCACAAGTGTGCATACACATTCACCACTGACCATAACCATAAATTTAGCAATCTCAGTTAACTGCTCTGTGCATGTATAGCATTTGGCTATTGAAAAGAATGACTGTTGTCCTATGTAGCAGAGAAAAACACATCTTTTTACATCATGTATTCTAGGTTAGCCCCTTTTCCCTCCAGCATTTCATTTGGTTCTATTATGCAGCATTATTTTCCTACTCATCCATGGAGTTGCTTCCAAACTACCTGGAGAGCAATCTATTTTGTAGTCCTCCTTCCACCTCCAAAACTGTGATACTGTCAAGCTCAATTTTTCCTCACACCTTAACACGGTTGTTATATTGAAATATTGTAATATTTCTAATGACAGCTGATGGAGTCACTAAAGATGCATTAAAGAAACAAAAGGCATATATTCCTTAGGTCTCTTCCCAATTCAATCCTCCTTCTTCTTCTTCTTCTTTTTCTACATGAAGGAAATACTGTACAGTCCTGTAGAGAATAATGTTTTGTGATGACAAAACAACGTTTCAGCACCAAGCAAAGCAGTGCCCAGAACTGCAGAGCTCCACTCTGGCTTCCTGCCTTAACTTCAGTCCTGCTGACCTGAGTTCAGCCGCGAGGCACCGAGAAGCACCATTAATTACACATTTGTCTCTCTTTAGTACTAAAGGCTGCCATTGGCAATGAGTAAAAATCTCACACACCACTCCTGACTTCCCACATTACAAGAGCTGTCTTTTTTTTTTTTCTTCCCCTCTTTGCCTGTGTATCATTAATATCCAAATTAGGTCCTTACCTAGTGTCAATCCTGTAGCAATCGTGGTTGCTGTTCCTGCTTAAAAAAAAAAAATACAATTAAGACTAATTAAGATCAGAGTGGTTTTCACGATAGTAAAAAATATCATACAAAACACTAAAGCAATATGAGTTTATATATAGCCTACCATGCAGGTTAAGTTTCTGTTTAGTATGTTGAATGCAAGAGTCTCTAACACAAGAACCAGTATTTGTAAGCTCCAGTAGCACAAAATTGATTTATTTAAAAAACATAATATTTATTAAAATAAGAGTCGGTTAGCAGCATAGCAAACTGCTTGAAATTGAAAAGAAATTGAGGTAAACAAAAATATGGAGACTAACAATGGTATATTCCCCCCGCCAACAGGATGATAGCACATAGATCAGAGTCCCAAGTCATCTTTGCATCTTTAGTTTAGAGTTTCTGCTCCATGATACTCCAGATGATTTTGAAAGCAGTACTATGCAATTCCAGATTCTAACAAAAGGTTGATCAGAAAACCAAAACATCCATTTGAAGATCAAAACATTCAGTAGTGCAAAATAAAAATTACATCAACATTAGTTTTAATACATTAAGACAGGTTTAGTCCACTGTTTAAATTGCTTCTAACAGCAGAACTTCTAAGAACCAAACTATCCACTCAGGTGAGCAAGAAAACAAACAAAACAGACAATATTCTCTAGCAATACTGGAGAGAACGTAAAATTCTTCAATTGAAATATATTTTTTCAACAGAAGCTAGGAAAGTTTAATTGTTTTGCAATTTGACTTTTGAAGATATTCACAGACTGAAGGCCTAAGGAAAAAAAACATGAATTCATTCGTCTGGATAGTTTTTTTTGATAAAATCAATCAAATAAACAAGAACAGAACAAAATCCTCCAACCTTTTTAACAAAAAGCTTTAGCAAGTGCATAATTTTGAATACTGAATTACAACTCCTTTAGTGATTTTGAGGATACTTAAAATCAAATAGCAGTTTGAAGTCATAGTTTCAAGCATTTTGGATGAAGAGTTAAACTTTTTAAAAGCCAGAGGAGTCAAAATGAGACAGTTTACACAAATGCCCAGGTATGTTTTTTTGATAACTACATTTGTATTTTGCAGCATTGGCACTGCATACATCCTGATTACTCAGCTTTTAAACTGTTTTGTAAAAAGGCTTTACAAACTATAGATGAAATGACCAGTGAACTACTATAAAAATCCTCCACCAGTGGATTATGATGACCACAGTTTTGTGTGCATGTTTCTTCCCTCGTTTATTTAACTTTCTGATTTGTTATGAAAATAAAGCCTCTTTTCCTACCTGTACTGGTACCTCCCAGTGTAAAGCCTGTAGTTGATTTTGATCCAAAAAGTCCAGTTCCAAAGCCCACTGAGGGAGCCGATGTAGTTGCTGTAGCAGTGGAAGATCCTAGAGTTCCAAAATTAAGTCCTCCTGTCGAGCTATTACAAAATAAAACTATTAGTTTTTCAATTTTGTAATTATTATTTTAAATTATTACTATCCAAGTAATTTTTGTTTCTCGTGTTTTCATTCAACTTTCCAGACAGGTAAAATGAGTTGGGCGAGAGGCACTGAATCGGAGCTCACTCCCTGACAACTACAAGCCTGCAAGGAGCAGCTCATCTTCCCACTTCCTTCCAGAGCCGCCTGGCTCACACTGCCTCCCTGACCCTTACTCCAGCACTTGTTTAGCTCCTTGCTGAACTGATTCACCTTGCAAGACCAACAAAAAAACCTTCCAATGCTCGTCTCTTTAAACATGGCAAATTATTCTCCCTGAACTATGGAAATGGAGGAAAAAAGAAAAAAAGCTAAAAGCCAAAGGCACTGCAGAGGCTACAGTAACAGACAATCCTGCATGGCTGGGAGCAGGAACATCTTTTCAAAAGAGCTTGCCAGTCCAAAGAGGCACTGCTAACCAGAAACCTCACGTGCAACATTATTTCATTTTGAAGTGCTAAGCATGAAGAGATGCACCTTTTATCAGAGCAGCCTTACCACATTTTAATCAAGCAATGTAGGTTCTAAAATTCCTTTTCTAACCAAATGCTATCCTTACCCACAGATGCAAGCTACAGAAGACCCACACCTACCTTTCTTTCCTGCCAATATTCTGTGCAATTCAATTATGAAAATGAACTCCTACAGCTCTTATCACAAAGGGGAAGAAGGAGGGAACCAGAGTTCAGCAGTGTGAGCAGAACTAAACATATTTGCTTTACTTGGGATAACTAAAAACACTGTATTACAGTAAACACTGGAAAAGCTTTATATACAGCAGAGAATGTATCCACATTACTGTACAAAGATTCA